CTTTTGCAACTGACATGATTGCCTCATTTTATTTGCTTAGACTGATACTAAAATGAGCTTGAAGCTAGGCATGGTAGCATATACCTGTGATCCTACTGTCCTCAGAGGCAGAGGCAGGAGGACTGAGTTTGAACCCAGCCTGGGCAATTTAGCAAGACTGTCTCAAAATATTAAAAGAAAAGGGAGTGGTGTGTTGTAAAGGCCCTGAGTTCCATCCCCAGAACCACCCTTCCCCAAATAAAATAAAAGAGACCTAAATACCACCACAAAGAGTATAGAAAATGAGTTATTGGATAATGCTTTTTTGCACCATGTTATGGAATTTACATAGCATATGAACTTTAAAAAATCCCATGTAAGAAAAACTCCCGAATAGCAAGTTGAGCTTTTAGGGCTTATAGAAGGAATTTGGTGGCAGTTTTTATATGTTTACTATAAATTTCCCCCATTTTTTTGCCTTTTGAAAACCACAAAGAGTAACAAGATGAATGAAACAAAAGCCCAAACACATTACAAGTCTGAGAAAACCTCAGAATTCTGCATTTTGAGAGCTGCCCAAAGCACTGAGACCATCACAGCCAGGGCGGGAGGACTCAGGGAAACCCGCAGGGTGCACTGGAGAATGGAGGGACGGGGCACAGAGATTGCCAGTGAGTGCACATCCAAGGGCGAGGGCCTGCCTGAGGAGGAAGTGCTGGAGGCAGGGATAAGAGAGCGAGGCCAGGAGAATCCTGGAAGGGAAAGGAGGCTGGTGGCTGTCTGAGGCGTCACCCCCTCGCACCGTCCAGTCCCCACAGCAGAAAAGAGAACGGCCAGGAGTGCCGGAGAGGGAATTGGTGGAGGTAGAGCTTCGAAACACTTGGTTTTGAGTGACAGAGGAGATATGGCACTAGAGAGAGAGGGGATTCCCAGAAAGGCTTTGTTACTATAGCACAGGAGAGGGGACCTGTGACTTGACGGGCCTTGATAGCCTCTCTCTCTCTCCAGTCTGCAGAAGCTGCCTTCCGATGGCTGGTCCAAGAGTTCGGTCAGGCCTTGGGGCTTCGTAAAGCTATGAAGAAGCAACTCATAATTGTTTAGAAGCAAAGAAAACACTTAAAAATATTTGCATCAAGCAGCTAGAACATTGTCTCTATAATGTGACATTATATAGACTAAAATTACTATTGAACAAATGGAAGTAAAGCCATGATTTATGAAGAGAAGGCCCTAAAATCATCAATTTTTTTATTCTTTGTGGTTGATTTATAAATGTAGTGCATTATAAAAAAAAGACTATTAGTTTGCTCGGGCTGCTGTAATGCACACAGTGTGTGGTCTGAGCGAGGGGAGCAGCAGAAAGGCCCCGTCTCAGTCTCGAGGCGGTGTCAGCAGGACTGGTGGCTCTGTGGCCTCCCCTTGACTCGCCTGTGGCCCCCAACTATGTCCTGCCTGGGCTGCTCAGCCTGTGTGTTGTCTGTATTCTGGTCTCCCTGCTTGTAGGACACCTCATTTTACCATCAGCACCTCCGGGGAGGCCTTGACTCCTGTCAGAATCCCTCCCTGAGCCCCTGGGGCTGAGGACTTCAGGGTGCCAGGTGGGGAGGACACAAGTCGACCTGTAACAGACCACTCCCGAATGGTTCCAGGGTGTTTGTGCTGAGAGGAGCAAAGAGGAAAACTGGAAGAAGAGTGAGGGGCCCTGCTGAATATTAAAGTCAACTTTAAAGTGCTGCCCGTAGATGATTGGCATGGTTTTGCACGGTCCTGTCCTGCAGAGCCAGGGCAGCCTCTCTGTGTGTACCTTCCTATAAAGAGCAACAAAAACTGGGACAAAACCTGGTAACCAGTGGGAGAATAGGTCTGTGATGTGTTCATGATTGTACATCCACACGATAGGATTGGCTGCATAGGATGGAAGCCGTGAGTGCCTGTGTGAGAGGCAGTGAATCCAGGCAGTGCGGGCAGGTGCATAACAGTGGGCTGGAGCGTGCATCCGAGTGGTGCACTACAGGCATGCTGTCCACACACAGGCATGCTCGTTTTCACACATACTAGTGCAAGAACACACAAGAAACTAATAAAAAGTGATTGTATTGGTAGGGGTGACCTCTCATATAGGCTTATTAAATATTTTGATTCTAAAGCCCTGTGAATGAACATGTTATTTACAGAATTTAGAAGCTAGATACTGTAATAAGTAGACTTCAACACAGAAGCCAGAAAATGAAGTAGACAAATACAGAGCAAGTCTGTTTTGAAGCTGGTTGGAATGTGTGTGTTTTACATGAGCGGCACCAACAAAGTGACTTCAGTTTTATTTCCATTAAAGGTACCTGAGCACAAAGTAACGTGTGCATTTTTTCCTTCTAGTGTTAACAGTGCCCGCGACAGACATCGCTGAAGAAACTGTTATAAGTGAAGAGCCACCAGCTAAGAGACAATGTATTGAAATAATTGAAAACCGGGTGGAATCTGCAGAAATAGAAGTAAGGAGTCTTTTACCCGGTGTGTTTTGCGGCAGTCGTCCAAAATAAATTTTTTTATTTTTTATTATTTTTGTCTTTTATATTTATTACAGTGTGGTTTTGTTGTTGTTGTTGTTTGGATACAGAATGAAAGTGCATGGTATTATCTTTTTGTTTACTTTTTTTTGCCTTATACATATAGCAAGCCCTCAATAAATAAATATTGAATGAATGAGTGAGTGAAGAATTTGTTTGTAATGAAGCCTGCTATCTGGGTAACATTGGGATGTCTTTGGTTTTCACATTCCATCCTCTTTTCTGTTTACCTTCTACATGTCATTCTCATAAGTCACTAAAGGAAAATATAACTATATACTGACTAAAAACATTTTTTTTCTTTCAAAAGTGAGACACATAAATGTCGAATTGAGCTGTCCAAGGTCCCTGTAAAGGTCGATGTTTATCTAATGGGTTGCATTTTCAAAAATAGTACATAACTGCCAAGATTCCCCTTCTCTTCCCCTTCTCAAACCAGTTTATAAGTGTACACTAGTTTGTAGTATAACAAAACCATAATTACCCTACAGGTTTTTTCTCCCCCTCACATGAGTATAAATAAGATTATTTCCTGAATTAATAACTTATATAAAATACAAGCAAAAAAGTGTTTCTGAATAGTTGTGTAAACAGAATTGAACTTGACATCAGTTAAGCTGGGTTTTGAATAACCTCTTTTTTTGTTTTGTTTTTTTGAGACAGGGTCTCACTGTGTAGTTGAGACTGACCTGGAACTCACCATGTAGCCCAGGCTGGTCTCCACAGTGATCCTTCTGCCTCAGCCTCCCGAGTGCTGGGATTACAGGCCTGTGCCACCACGCCCGGCTTTGAATAGCCTCTTTTGACTATCACCTTTAAAGCAAATTATCTTAGCTTTCTGACTCTGATTTTCAATTTTCTTCTAGTTTGGAAACTAGAATAATATCTCCATTTTAGGGTTTTTATGAAAATTACAAAAGTATACTCTTTATATATATTTATAGTATCTGTTATATGCATCATAAATTTGGTGAATATTTACTAGTTCTTTTAAAAGTTGTTGTTACTACAAGGAGACTTTTTGTAAAAATTTACTAAAAGGCAACATAAAATAAAGACTATTAGAATATACCTTCCTATACTCAGGTGAGTATCAGACTGCTACATCTTTAGTTATAATCATAAGTCATACATTACTGAGTTAAAAGAATCTGATTAATGGCTTAACCAGAGTGTCTGGTAAAATTACAACTTTATTCAGTGTGGGTTGTATTTCTTCAAAATGTAAAGTGATATGCAGGATAATGAAGTTCTTGTTCGCTATTCCACCAAGTAATACCAGCATACTTACTATGTAATTCTCTTTATTGTCATTTTCTGATTTGTCAGATGGTCTTTTTTCAAGCATATAAGGTGAAAAAGTTTTGTCAATAAAACATTTAAAGATTGCTTGAATTTTTATTAAATATAAGATTATTCAACAAGTTGTATGTTTCTGCTGACAAATGTGTGGCCTGTACCTTTCTTTGGTGGTGACCAGTGAATAGTCCCTGTTTCCCAGTTCTGCCTGATTCTCTTCTCATCTTCCAGAGATTATTGAAAATAATTGTAGTAACAAGAACATAGGAATTGAGGAGAATTAATTAACTAGGACCAAGGAGTCTAAACTTTAAGGTGGTGGCATTTTAGCTTGGAATAAAGAACAGGGTTTTCTGTTCTGTTTTTAGTAGAACTTTCTGGTAATGGAAATCTTACTTATTTGCTGGACCTTGCAGCAGTTGTGGAGAGACCATGACCCACACAGCGCGTGTGTCTGTGGAAGAAAGCTAGCGTTGGAGGAGGAAGAGGGGACCAGGGTTACGGTGGGCCGGGGAATTGTCATGCCTTTGAATTTTTATTTTCAGATTCCCAGTAGTGTTATCTTGGGGGACAGGCTTTTATACTGTTTTTGAAATAACGACTTGGTCTCGAACCCAGAAAGTTTGTTTGAAGTGGTTGGTGATTCTCAGCTGGGGCAGTTTTGATCCCATGTGAGCTTTGGCGATGCTTGGAGACTCTTTGTTGTCACAGTTAGTGGCAAACCACTGGCGTTTGGTGGGTAGACTGGATGCCCTGTGATGCTCAGGACAGCATTCAGAATTGATGTGCTCCAAAATTACCAGTACTGAGATTGAGGAGCTCTAAAGGAATTACTGAATCTAGCACTCATTCATTTTCCCTTTGTGTTTGTGTCCACAGTTGCTAGAGTGACTATAAATTATAAAGATGGTAAAAGTTTATGTTTGTAATATTTCCCAGCTGACAATGGAAAGGTTTCCCCCATAATCCCTGGAAAAATTAAATTATACAAAATTTATGTAAATTTTGTGGTAATAATACATCTGTATTATAGCAATGTAGACTTTTTTAGAGAGGAAGACATGAATAAGACACTAAATTACAATAGTGCATCAACTTTCGTAACCACCTCTTTTTTGTCGGGGAGGATTTTGAGACAGGGTCTCACTGTGTAGTTGAGACTGACCTGGAACTCACTATGTAGCCCAGGCTGGTCTCGAACTCACAGTGATCCTTCTGCCTCAGCCTCCCAAGTGCTGGGATTACAGATGTGCGCCACCATGCCCGGCTACCACCTCTTGATACTATTGTGTTGAAGATTCTTTTGGAGAAAGTGCTGTTTCCAGCTTTCTTCCATAAACATTAGCCCGTTCTGAAAGAATCCAATCTTCGTATATGTGGGAGAGAGAAAATGTCATTAATCGTTAAGTATAACAAAATGTCTCTGTCATTATCTGAATCTAGGAAGGATCTTTACATTGTTAAGCAGATGAGAGATGAATGTGTTTATTTTAGTGAGTTTATTTTTGAGATTGGCTTTTTTTTCCCCCTAGATTTTTGTTTTTTCTTTTTTAATTCTGGAATTGGATTGAATGCAGGGCCTTATGCATTGTAGACAAGTGCTCTACCACTGAGCTACACCCCAGCTTTATTTATGAAATATTTGACCTTTAATAAGGGGTATTCTTTTAAAAATCTCTATAAATGGTAAACTGATATTTTACCCACATTTTAAAAATTTTCCTGGGTATTGAGCTCAAGCGTGGTCTACTACGGAGCAACATCCCCAGCCCTTTTGATTTTTTAAATTTCTTTTTAAAAAATTATTTATATTTTTGGTACCAGGGATCGAACTCAGGACGTTGCACTTGTGCCAGGCAGGTGCGGTGCCCCTAGCTAAAACCCTATATTAATTTTGTAATTTAAAACTGATATTTTAGTTTTATAATTTTGAAGCAGGACCTTGCTAAAGTTGCCCAGTCTGGCCTTGAGCTTGTGGTATTTTGGCCTCACCTCAGGGGTTGGGATTATAGGTGTGTGCCTACTGTGCTTGTTGAGTGTTCTTTTTTCTCGAGAAGTCTTTCTTTACCGGCTGTGGAGTCTGTTGCAGCTGCTCAGCTCTGCCATTGTAGTGAGGAAGCTGCAGGGACAGTTTGGAAATGGGAGGGTATGGCTGTGTTTTGAGAAACGTTATTTATACAAACAAGATCATTGTCACATTTGTCCCAGGGCAGATATAAAATTGATCTTCACACACAAGGAAACATTTCACACATTTGGCCTAGTCCTCACCCCCAGTCTAGTAACCGTAGCACTTCAGCAGGCTGAAGTGGGAAAGTTTAAGGCCAGTCTAGGCTACACAAGATCCTGTCCAAAAAAAGAAAAACAAAACAAAACAAAAGCAATGAGTGGCTAGGAATATGGGTCTGCAATCAAATTTAAGTTTGAATTTATAATTTTTGATTATGTTGATCAGTTCAGCTTGTCAAAGTTTGGTTTTCTCATCAACAAAAGTAGAAGAATAGCATCTGCAATATAAGATTTTGGAAAGATGAAATGAGAATGCATGTGAAGGTTTAAAACAGTGGTGGACATAGTAAATGTTAGTTGCTGTCATTCTACAGTTTACATTGAGGGCAAGCATGGTGACATCCTATCATCCCATCACTTGGAAGGCTGAGCAAGGCCTAAACTCAACTATGTAGTGAGACCTTGTCTCAAAAAACAAAAAAAAAAAGTTTGAAAAATTTTATTGGTACATTTTAGATACACATAGTGATAACATTCATCACAGGGAATTTGTACCTGAACATGATACATCTTGATCCCCCCCTCCCGCTTTCCTTCTATCCCACTTCCCCTCTTTATTTACAAGAGCTTTGTTTCCATTTTTTCCTTCTAAAAATGAAATTTACGTTGAGGTATGGTAGACGATAAATCACTGTAATGATTTTGGGCTTATAATAGTCAAAGCAAAATACAAATTTGGGTGTTGGAAAATTATATATTAAAATGGATTAAAAATGATAAAATTGTTAGATATCATTGGTGTTAACTAAAGCAGAATGAAGGAATCCAGTTTAAAATAAAAAGCTTAATAAAATAAAAGCTTCCCTTATTGCTTTGGTGTGGTGGCATAAGCTGAATATCTTCCTGTTGCCAACAGATGTTGATTTTTAGTAGAATTTTTTCTGGGAATTCTTTCAATTGGCTTGTTGACAGGAAAATAATGTGCATGTGTGCTTGTGTGTGCCAAGGATTGATCCCAGGACCTTGCATGTGCTAACCATATGTTCTGCCACTGAGCTGCAGCCCCAACCCCTAGAGAAAAACTTCAGTATTACATCTGAGTAGGCTAACCTGTGTCTATTTTACAGTGTCAAAGCTTTTTATTGCGACTTTATTGCAAAAGATTAGTGCCGTAGAATAGGCATTTATATCTCACTATAAATGTCAGATCTCAGGTCCTAGTGTTATTAATATTTGAAGCAACAAAATTGCTATTTGCATTTAGGAATTGTCTTGTATGTTCAGTAAACATTTGACAAAGGATTTCTGTGAGTAATAAGTGGCATTTCCCACTTCGCAGAAATTTTTATTTGCTTTGAAAAGTGAGATGGAAAAAGCCTCGCCCCTGTAACTATATTCTTAAGTAAAAAAAAAAGTAAAAGTTGGTAACATTAATCAATGTATTCCAAGTAGTATGAATGATACTCATCTTTCTGATTTTACAGATTTAGTAAAAAATAATGCAGTGTAAAATGAGTCTTTTATTTGGCCTAATAGGCAGGAAGTGTAGTGATCATTTCATGTTTATTAAAGTTTATTCCACTCTGTGGGACTAGAAGTGTATTAGCTCAGTGGCGGGCCGTTGCCTAACACGCGGCCCCAGGTGTGACCCCCCCGTGTGGGTGTGATTGTGTGTGTGTGTGTGTATGTGTGTGTGTGTGTGTGCGCGCGTGCGCATGCACCCGCTCATTCCATTTCTTGACATAAAAAGGGAAATAGGATTAAACTGGTTTCCAACTTTTATTCAGTTTGCATTTGTCTTCTGCACTAATAGTGAATCACCTGCTAACCCGAACTGTTAATGATATCTAATCTTAAGCGATACCTAGTGTTTCTTACTAAACTGGGGCACATTTTTTTCCATATCCAAAGCTAGAGGCTGTTAATACAGTAAATGTAAAACACACGTGTGTGCCTAAGTGTCCTGCCGGTGTGGGCCGAGCCCTCAGCCCGCCAGGGGCTGTTCAGAGCTGTGACTGCTCTCTGACTTCTTCCTGGGAGAAGGCTGCAGCAGGGCTGCGCCTGCACGTTGCTGACCTCAGAGACCAGACCATCTTTGGCTATGTTTGCACATTTTGTGCAGTTGGGAGATTTGTGGGCTCCTTCTGTAGTCACTCCCAGGTGTGGGTGTGCCCATGGAAAAAATAATTGTTGGCTCTAACCTCATTCCCCGTGTGACAAAGGGGCAGGAGGGAGACATCCGCTTCTCCACGTGGGTCCTGGGAACATTGCAGGGAGGGGGTGGTCACTGGTCTGCATGGACGAGTGTCCTGGAGGCATGGGTATGTAGGGAGAGACCCTGGTACTATCGCTCCCTAGCAAGCTTCCTGCCTCCATACCTTTATTTCCTGCTGGCCAGTCTTGTCCGGTGGGAACCTGGCCTTGTGACTGGGCTTCTGCCTCTGGCCCTCACCTCACTACCAGGTCCTCATAGTGCTCTGTGCTGAGGTGGCTTCATTTCCTAAGACAGTGCAAACTTGCCGTGCGTGAGCTTTGGTCCTTGTGCTTGGTGGAGGTCCAGGAGAGGTTTCTGTGAAATGTTTTCCCTGAGGTTACTGACCAGGGGCAGAATGAGAAGAGAAAACACCATTGCCATTGGACCGCATTTGTATGTCAGCTCTCAGTTTATTGAATTTATAATTTCTGTTTTTAACCTGTGTAACGGACTACTGGGACCCATCAGGGAAGAGAGAATAGTTGGTATGATTCAGGAAGCGTAACCTAGCCCAGCACTCTTAGAGGTGAGGTGTCTGCTTGCTACCGTGGAAGAGGGTAGTTTAAAAAGTAGAAATAATAGGGTCCCTTGAACCCACCTGCGTGATGCTGGGCAGCTGCATCCACGTAGCACAGGAGAGATGTGCTGTTGAAATCACCTCCTTTAGTCACATAATAGGTGCGCCGTAAATTACCGCACCTTCACATGAAAACCTGAGAAGCAAGGACACGAAGCGGTACGGTTGTATAGCTTACTCTTAAAACTTTCCAGTTTATGTAGTATGTATAAAAATACACATACCGAATTTGGGGTTCTCCCTCACCTTTCCAGTCGGGAAACAGTCTTCTTGAGGCTGGAAAGTATTCTGCATCTCACACTGTAGAGCACAGAATCGGGCTTACTGACCAGTGCCTTAATTGGAAAGGCAAAATGACTGGGAAATAGCAGTAAGTAGCTACGTACAGCTACTGCAAAGTCTTATCTAAAGGATGCATGTTTGTATGTGTTACTGTATTTGTGAAAAATTTTAAACCTTTCTTTTTTAATTAGGAGAGAGAAGCTCTTCAGAAACAGCTGGATGAAGCAAATCGAGAAGCACAGAAATACCGGCAGCAGCTTCTTAAGAAGGAGCAGGAAGCAGAGGCCTACAGACAGAAGCTAGAGGCTATGACCCGTCTTCAGACTAACAAAGAAGCCGTCTGATGAAACAGACACGAGTTTGATTTCCCTCTTGGTCAAGACAGAACGCAGTCTCAAACTGTACGCAACACGGGTGCAGCCGTGGGAGTGCAGGAGAGGAGGCTGCCCAGTGACAACTGGACCGAAGCTAGGAGCTTGGAATTCTTGTAACATAAAACTTTAGAAGTTGTGAGATGTATTTAAAGCTGAATTCTGTAAATAGTTTGTTTTTTTACAGTTCCAAATGAGTTCATAAAGATTGTTGATGAGATCCGAAACCACAATAAGCTGCTGCTATTGTGAATCCTTTTTGGTTTTAGTATGAACATCAGCTTCTCAGAAACAGAACAGTTGTAAGGGTGACTGTTGTTGGTTAGACCAAATGTTGTGTGATAATTATGGTGGACTGATGCTGGAATCACTCATGGAGGTAGAAACTTCTTTATGGAGAGAAGATTTCTTCCAGGAAATCTTTGTACAGCTTTAAGTTGTCTCAGATTCTCTTGAAAACTTTTTAGAAAGCAAAACTTTTATATTTGTTCAATTTCAGCTATACCCAAGTAGATTTACATGTATATGAAGCAAATATTTTTTAAGCCTTCTGTTTGTACATATTCTGCATGTTTTATAATTTCAAAATGCATCACTTGCATACATATTTTTCCCACAAAGATGATGAACGTTAGAAGGAAAAACCCTTTTATCCTGTAAGTCATTGGAACTAAGTAAGCTGGCAGCTGGTTTTACTGAACGACAGTGTTCTTGGAAGGAGCAGCTTACAAGAGAAGTTGAATTTACAAAGTCTGCAAAATCTATGCTTTTTGGAAAATTTCATTGTGGGGACGTGAAACTGTATTCTGTGCCTTCCATCATGATTTCCACATGAAAGCACTTTAAGGCACCGGATTTTAGGATGATGTTTTTGGAAAACTCAGTGCATATGGGTTTCTGCAATATTTAATGGACTTAGCCTGCCCCGCCCGGGAAATGATTCTTACGGAAGACATTGCTTTTGTACGTAGAATGAGGACTTTTGTACCACAGTAATGCTCTGGAGATGTCTAGCGGACCTCTTCCTCTCCCTGTGAAAGTGCAGCGCCTTTCTGTGACTTGCTCTCATCACAACATTGTTAAACCCCGCCATTCATTAGATTCTGGCAGACTGTTCGTTCTTTTTTGTAAAACATCAAGCCCCTTTTTCTTGCTTTATTTTTTAATGTTTTATTGCTTTATGAAAATGTTTAACCCGGAAGCCCCTCTAGATTACCTATACTGTGTAAAGAAGCAGTTACCCTTAAAACTGTACTCTGGCCTACTTTTCTATTTTACGATTAAATATCTTTTCCACATATGTGCAACGTAGATTTATGTTTTGGTGCATTTCACGTTAAAATGTGGGCCCTGGGGGTAGCTCAGTGGCAGAGGATATTTGTAGCATTGTTGAGGACTTGAGAGAGGGAAAGAGACCAGGGTTCTACTGTGCGTTTGAGCCCTGTGAAAACACACTTTGCATACTCACTTCAAAGTTTCTGGCGTTATGTTCCCTCTCTGGTGTTAGTCTGTATTGGTGTCAGTGTAATAAGGGATCTATGGACTATCAGCCTAATTTTAGTTGGTATTTTGGAAGTCATAGATTCTAGGGCAAATTTAAGAGCTCTATAGGGAAGAGAAAATGATCAACTTTCCACTAAATTTGATACGATTGGTGATTGACTGACTGTTGCCCATGCTGCCTTGAGCTCTTGGGCTCACACAATCCTCCTGCCTCAGCCTCTTGAGTGCTGGAACTACAGGCTTGCACCGTTGTGTTGGGCTTTGAAACAATTTAAGTGATCTCAGCTTAGGTTTTTCAAATGGCAGGTCCTATTTTCAGTAGCATCGAGGTACTTTTTTTGCCCCTATGTAGTCACTGGAGACTCACCGGGTGGACCCATAGTGTGTGTCAGGGCAGCGTTGGTGCAGAAGTGGCCTGTGTGTTCACCCCAGGTGCAGCCACTATGACTTTGCTCCCAGACCAGGCTGGCCCTGACACATCTCAATATTGGAAGTAAGCTTGCGAGGCAGTTGAACACCTTAGCCTTCTGGGCTGTGCCTGACTGGCCTTTCCGGGGTGCTAGACGCTGTTCTGCTCTCTGGTCACAGCAGCTGTGGGTGAGCAGGACAGTAGTGGTTCCTCAAATGGGCTGTGGTGGCTGTAATTCCTCCGTCATCGCTACCCTGTGGGAGAATTTATAATTAAAATGCTTTTTGTGTATTTATTCTGTCACAGGTGACTGGAAAATCTTTGCAATTCTGGCCATTCTCAGTGTCCTGTGCTGAGAATTAAAAGAACCGGCAAGGAAATAATTTGAAAAAGTGTTCTGAAACCTACGCCTATGTGTTTGCACTGCACGGGGATGGGTGTGTGGCTGGCGGTCATCTGTTTGTTTCCGTTGGTGCGTGAACACTTTCTCAACGTGGATCTGAGAGAATCAAGCCAGAAGTGGCAGGCGTGTGCATTGGGAAGGGCTGTTCTTGTGTGCTGCGCAGCTCACCGGGCATCTTGGTGGCCTGGTCACCTAGTCCTGAGGTAGCACTTCCTGTGTCTAAGTGGCTGTACCTCGAGGGATCCAAGTTCTGGGTCACATTTGAGGCTTTCAGAAAGCCTCCCTGGAGAGCACCCCTGGTCTTCGTTGTCATTTATCAATATTTACTTGACACTCCAGAAATGCTCCGGAAGCACTTGGGATGTCCTTGGTCCTCACTGGGTTTAGGAATTCTTTCTTCTTTCATGGTAAAGGTGTGAACCGTCACCGTCTCCCTTCACCTGCCCACTGTCTCGCTATTTATGGAGCCGGGGTGGGGGGTGTTGGAGAGCTCCCGCTCTTCTTGACATTGAGAATAGAATTGGAGAGAGAAGGAAATAAAAGGGAAGCAGAGAGTCATGAAGACCAGTTTGTAATAAAGTCTGGGTGGAGATGTTTGTCAGGGCTGGGGATGTCACTTGGTGGTAGAACGCTTAAGGCCCTGGGTTCACCCCAGTGCCACAAAATGAGTACATTTCAAAGTATCCAAAGCATCGCTAGTGGAAATCTATGCCAGTATATATGTCTTTGGCTTGATCACTTAGGATGTTCCTTATTGGAAGTGAGAAGAAATCCTTGCCCACAATAGAAATTGGTGTGTTGCTAGAAGCAGAGCTTTATCTGGGGAGCCTTTTCTCTGTATTACTCTAAGCAGAATTCTTTTTTTTTTCTCTTTTCTTTTTATTGAGTTTATTGGTACAATCTAGGTATACAGTACAGTTACATTCATCATTGGGATCTTGTACCTTTACATGACAGGTCTTGATTCTCATTTTTCCCCTTGTCCCTGCCCTCCCTTCACCCCCTCCTCCCCTTGCCATTTACAAACACTCTATTTCCATTTTTTCAGTTTCTCATATTTTCTTGTAGTCTTATCTTATTCTTTTTTCATTATTTAGAGAATACTTTATTAGTTTCTAAGCAGAATTCTTGATAAAATCTCTGGACTTATTCTGCTTTAGTACTTGGAAGACTGAAAGTTGACTAAGCTGGGGATTTAGCTCAGTGGTTCCACTGGCTGGTCCTGAGTTTGATCCCTGGTACCAAAAAAAAAAACACTCCACAAATTTGGGCTGGGGATTTGTCTCAGTGGTTCCACTGCTTGCCTGGCAAGTGTAAGGTCCAGAGTTTGATCCTGGTACCCCCCCCCAAAAAAAAAGTTGACTAAAAACATGGAGAGGAGGAATAATTTTTTCAGAAAAAAATTGCAGAACCATACTAGGAACCTTCCTGTCCACGTGTGTTTTTTTTTTGTTTTGTTTTGTTTTCCTTCTGTCCACATGGATGTTCCCAAGGCTGAAAAAAATTGCAGAACCATACTAGGAACCTTCCTGTCCACGTGTGTTTTTTTTTGTTTTGTTTTGTTTTCCTTCTGTCCACATGGATGGGTTCCCAAGGCTTTCGTGCTTGGGCTTTGAAACACAGGAAAGGTGTCTTGTCTGCTCACCTGGCTTCTTTGGATCAATACCTGCTGCAGCGGCCGGGCCAACTTAGGAATGGCCGAGACCGTAGGTTTGGTGCTCTGCTGAGCGGTGTTTACTGTCCTCAGGTTCATTATAGATAACTGGTCGCCCTGGCTTCCCGGGATGCTTGCTGTTTGCTTTCTCTGCCTCGGAGAGAACCTCCCAGGCACCTGGGCTGTTTGACGTAAACCCTCTGGATTCGCTTGCACATCAGCTCTGTGTAAACCAGATGGGAAATGTGTCACCACTGGGAATACACTTCAGTGTCCAAATTTTAAACAGTTTTGTTTAAATTTTGAGATGGTTTCAGTTCATGCTGGTCTTGAACTCACTGTGTAGCCCCGGGCTGGCCTCACCTGCAGCAGTTCTGCCTCAGCCTCCTGAGTACCACACCTGGCTTCAGAGAAAGTTGGATACCAATATTTTTGTGACCTCTTTAAACTCTTTTCTGAAATGTATAAATGTACAGTATTGTATCTTCTGACTTCTGATTTCTTGAATTTCTTTAGAAATACCTCACCTTAGGGCATTTTGACACCTGCCTCGAAAGTGCAAGGTCCCGAGTTCAATCCCTGGTACAAAAACAAAACAAAACACAATCTCACTTTAATGATAATCAAAACTTGAATTTTAGGTACAGTCCCTTAAGGCTCCTTAAGAGAAATATAACTACCCCCCAAAAAACCTACCATTTACTTTCTGGGAAAAAATTTCATTTGGATTTTTTTTCTTCTTGAGATGGTCTCACTATGTGATCCTCCTGCTTCAGCCTCCTGAGTGCTGGGATTACAGGTGTGCACCACCACACCTGATACCTTCTGAAAAAAATTTTAAGCCAGTTTCTGGGAGTCTCTTCACATGCTTTGCTAACTGCTCACTCAGTTTTTCATTTGAACTGTTTTAATCTCACACACACAGTTTATCAATAGATACAGTACTTTCTACATGTATAAGTATATATTACTGTATAATACAATTTTTACTTCTGATTGATTGCATCAGTTATAATTTTGAATTTCATGGGTTATTTAGAGGATTATTTTTCTGAGAATGATTTCCTTATGTATTTTTTTGTGTACTAGTTGAAAGTAAAGCATTTTTAATACTATTTTTCATGATTATTCTAGATGTACCATCTCCATCATAACTCTAAATAAGTTTAAATTGTATTCATTTATTATTTATCTATGGGAAACTATATGAAGAACATCCATACTTAAATGAAACTATAGGCTCATTTTTTTCTTCTTTAAATCTTGTCTACCAGAGAACTATTCCCAAACATTTCTACACTGTATCACTGGGAGTTTGGGTATCATATGCAGAGCATGGGTTTTCCTGTCTGTGTTTTTACAATATGCTTTTGCTATACACTGGATTTCGGAAATACACGGTAGAGTGTTGAATGGTTCTTAAATTTTCTTAAGGCCATCATACTGTATTCTGTGTATTGGCTTTTTTCGGTTAAAAATACTGTACATTATTTTTATTTTATTTATATTTTGAATTACATGGTCATATTGTGATGTTGAGGCTGGTCTCAAATTCCTGGGGTTAAGCAATCCTCCTGCCTCAGCTTCCTGAGTAGCTGGGACAAGTCCCCTCCCTGCACCTGGCTAAACAGTGTCTTAGACATGCCTGTTGATATTTGAATATCGAAGTCATTCATTTTGACTGTTCATATAAAATTACATAAGAATTTACTGCAAATTTGTGGTACTTGGCTATAATCTCAATCTTGTGGGAGGCTGAGACAGGAGGGTCACAGGTTTGAGCCTACCCTGGGCAATTTAGTAACTCTTAGACCCTGTCTT